CTGCTGTGTTCATCCAGCTCCACATCTTGCAACATAATCTTGGGAGAGTCCATTGCCTAACCTCCTTTATCGTTGACTTTCCCTCAACCATGGTATTTTTTGATAGCCGTACAGCACTCAGCAGTTCGTCAGGTACTGAAGCAATCAAGACCTCAACAACATTCAAGACTTGGGTTCATAAGTGGCAAAAATAAGTTAGTTGAACCAATCAGTTCAGTCCTGAGGGTATGCTTCGTTACTGTAGGGGCTTTCATTACAGGTGTTAAAGAGGATGGAATTAAAAAGACCCCATGCCACTATTTTGAATTAGAGGAGTGTTGATTAGCCAGGGTGAACAACATCACAAAACACAGACAGACAAAAATCAGACCATTATTACATTGCTGTTTGTGGAAACTTATGGTGCGTGGATTTCTTTCTGCATTTCCTATGTTGCAACACTGGGCACAGTCCAAAAATACTCAACTGGCTCTGAGGTGCTTTCAGACATTGTGGTCATGTGCTCGAAATGCATTCATTTGTTTAAAAATACCATTGTGGAATCTGCCTCCAACATGTGGGTGAGCACCACTGGCCCAAAAATTACTTGGACCACTGTGATTCCAAGAACAAGTTCCAAGTCAGAAATTCTGCAGCAAATAACTCATTCATCTCCCAATTCCCCAAAGTCTGTTCACAATTGACAATGTACAAAACAATACGTGAGATACTTCCTACTTGTGTTGTGGGATACAACACTCGAGAAACCTAGCACCATTCGAGACAGAAAGGAAATTGCTTCATTGGTGCACCACCTTAAATATTGACTCTCTTCACCACCAGTGTATACCATCCGGAAGATGCACTGTAGCAAGTCATCAAGGCTTCTTCAACAGTATCTTTAAACCTGTGACCTTTACTGAAAGAGGGACTAAAGTAGATAAATTCCCCTCCAAGTTACGTGGAACAAACAATCTAAGAATTAGAATCATAGAATCTTTACAGTGTGGAAACAGGCCCTTTGGCCTAAAAAGTCCACACTGACTCTCAGATCATCCTACCCAGACACTTCCACCTATAACCCACCTAACCTACACATCCCTGAACACTATGGGCAATTTAGCATGGCCAATCCACCTAGCCTGCACATCTTTGGACTGTGGGAGAAAACTGGAGTGCCTGGAGGAAATTGATGCAAACACTGGGAGAATGTGTAAACTCCACACAGACAGTCGCCCGAGGGTGAAATCGACCCCAGGTTCCTGGTGCTGTGAGGCAGCAGTGCTAACCACTGAGCCACCATGCTGCCCCGTATGTTGTGGAGCCAACCAGGGACCAGGTTATTTTGGACCATAACTTGTAAAGAAACAGGGTTTATTCATGACCTTACTGTAAAGCATAGTCAATGGGAGTGTGATCAAAGAATTTCATTTACAGTTAAAGGGGGAGAATCTTGAGTTTCTTTTCATTAAATGCAATTGTTAAGGTTATGAACACAAGTAGCCTAACAAATAGTTAAAAGGTAAGATAGTCGAGAAGCAGATACTTAAGGAGCTATAACTCTACAATGAAAGAAAGATTCCACATGAAAGTGGCACCGTCTGTGGTGTAATTGGCAAGTTAACAATAGTATCAAATTGAAATTTTAAAAATTACATTTGAAACCACACTAAGTAGTGGCTTCAAAATTTTTCAAAGGATGATTAAAAAAGTGCAAGGTGAAAGCAGAACAGGAGAGTAAACTGACATTAAGACACAAAAACTGAAGTTCTTCTACAATTATATAAAGCAGCAATAGCTAAAGTAAAGCTTAGTCGTTTAAGGACAAGACTTGGGAATTAATAATAGGAAGCAAATAAATAGCAGGGATATTGAAGCAAATAAATAGCAGGGATATTGAAGCAAATAAATAGCAGGGATATTGAATAGGATGAAGGGTCTAGGCCCGAAACGTCAGCCTCTCTGCTCCTATGATGCTGCTTGGCCTGCTGTGTTCATCCAGCCCTGCACCTTGTTGTCAGGGATATTGAATAAGTAGGTTGTATCTGTCTTCACAATAGAGGAGATTGAAGCATCCTAAGGTTGGCAGATGTAGGGGCAAAAGGGGACCAATGTAAAGGCGATGAAACCAGAGGAAATAGGACTCTTCACAGGATGAAGATGAAATGGAAGACACAAGAATTTTTGATAACAATGGGTAAAAGCTCTCTCTGGTCATTGAGATTATAAATTAATTAAGATGATAAAGAAAAAGAGGTCAGGCAATTTTACAACAAGAAATGCAAGAGACAGGTAGAGGATTTTAGTAATATGGAACTTCTGTCCAAAAATATTGATGGAAACCGAGTTCATGATAGCTTTAAAAATAGAGAAATGGACACATTTGAAAAAATACAATGGGGGAAAAAAAAAAATCAGAAGCAAAGATGGAAGAGAAATGAGACTAAGTGGATACTTCTTTCAGAGAATCCACATGAACATAATTCCCTGAACAATCATCATCTTTGTTGTAACATTCTGTGGTTCTAGACAAAGCATGATAATACAACTTATAGTACCAGCAGTGCACCAATGCCATTAGAACAATACATTGCTTTATGGTATGGAGGCACGCAAGCTTGGAAATTCTATGCAGCTGCAGAGATGCGTTCCATTATTGATTGGTATTGCAGTATTGTTCTTACCATCTAGAATGATTAGATCCCAGATGGCCAACACCGAATCCCAGCAAGGCAAGGATGTAAAGAGAGTGAGGAACCAAGTGGTGATGAACAGTAACGGTGCCACTTCCAAATTCTCCTGCCAAGGTTTAAACAATGTGTCAATAAGTACTGTTCCGAAAAACATGATAGGAAGGAGTGGTCAAGTATTAGCACTTTCGGATATATTTTACGATCACAGAATTCCAAACTACTTACTATTAGTTGGAATTCAAACTTATGTAGAGCAGACAGCAAAGAAACCAGCCTTTCAGCCCTAAGTTAAAGTTTAAGCCCTCGAGTTAAAACACAATCAGTACTGTTGGCCTCAACTCCTTGTGACAGCGAATTCTACATGTTCTGCACTCTAAAATGGTTTCTCCAGAAGAGTCTCATTTGCTGTCTATGATATTTCCTTGAGATAAAGGCTAATATCCAATGTGCTTCTGATTGATTTTTGCATGTTCTTGTGGCGAGCTAGACAAAAATATCTGCATTTCTCAACTTTGTTTAAAAAAAAGCATTTCATTTTATAAACATTTCCTTGTGACATGGATGGCACCGGCAAGTCAGTATGGATTTACTATCCAATAATGCCCTGAGGAGAATTCAAGTAGATGTGGTAGAAGATACTTGGATTGAAGAGGAGCTTGTCCCAATCCAAGTAAGAGCATGCGTTATGGACCAGACAGGGACCAACAAATGTAACAGTTGGGAAATGCACAGGTCTGACAAAATCAATTAAGTCAAAGGAGGAGATAGGGGCTAGAGATTTGGGGCACTGCAGGGGATAACACTGGTATGAAGTAGGAGTTGACACTGATGTGGAGGAACTAGGAGACAGACAAATCTGGAGTGGTAACGGATTTGTGGAAATGAGCAGACAAGGAACCATAGTATCAACATCAAGAAACAAAATCACAGATTTACCAGTCACCAGGTTACATTCATTGTATAGAAGCGATGAAATCGCTGCAATTTTGGTATGCAAATAAGCCTCTTGCTAATTTCAGAGAGGTAACTGATTAAAAAAAAGTATACATTTAATCTCTAGAATTGGCCAATATTCTCTAAATTACTCGTGCTTCAGCCTCACAGCTTGGTATAGAGGAGATCCCATAGTGAACTGCAATCCTTCCATACATTTATCATCACAGTTAGTGCTTTGGAAAGAAAAACACCCTCGACTCTGAACTCAGGGAACACAATGTTTGTATAACAAGATTGGGCTCTGTTAGAGCAAGCTGGATTAGTAGCAAAACCTGAGAGAAAGTGGGTTGGGCTTCAGGTCTATTACAAAGTGCTTACCATGTGTTGCCAGAGGCAGGGCATTCGATGTTTCAGCAGCTGTTGAAAGATTTTGGCATGCCTTTGGATTCTGCAAAGCAAACAGTTATCTTTCAGTAAGAATGTACAATGAAATGATATTTAGCAATTTGCATTTATATTAGCCTCCTTAATGTTCAAAAAGCCCAAAGGGGGTCTCACACAGGTGCATTACTAAACCAAATTTGATAGAGTCATGGAGGGGACAGGTGGCCAAAAGCTTTTGCAAAGATGTAGGGTTTAAAAGAGGACCATATAGGAGGAGAGGGTTATAAATGCAGAGAGATTTAGTGAGGGAATTAAACAGGTTTGCATCCAGGCAAATAAAATTATGGCCAAAGGTGGAGCAATTAGATTGGGGATTTGCAAGATGCTGGAATGTCAGACTCCAAAATTTCCAAAAATTCACATCCATCCTGGACCTCTGACACAGGAGGGCTGCTGCCATGTATCCAGGATGGCTAAAGGAAACCAATTTGGCTCTTAAAAATGTCATCAAGGAGTGGTAGGGAGGCTGAGAGGTTTAGAAAGGGAATTGCTGAATTTAGGGCGTAGGCAGCATTGGATTGTGGCATTAGAGGAGATTAGACCTAGAAAGTAGTAAGGCCACGGAAGGGTTGGATTTTAAAATTTTTATACCTGTGCTGCTTGACTGGGAGACAACAATATATGACAGCATGCACAGACGCTATAGGTAAACATGCCCTTGCACAAGTTAAGCCACAGGCAAGAGTTCTATGACCTAATGACTATGGTAGCTTTGGTCATTTATTCATTGAAATTTATCAGAGTTTGCTCTGCGCAATGTTACTGCTGTGTTTCCTGCATTGCACGGGTGACTATCAATTACTTTGCTATTTGTGAAGTATTTTGGGATTTGATGAGGCCATAAAAAGTGCTACATAATCTTTGTGATTATGTCTGTGATCATAGTTTTAAATTTGATTCCTTTACAACTCATGTTTCAGCAACTTAGTGACGACAAGAAGTAGAAGCCAGATTGTGAATGACAGATGTGACAGACAGAAAACAGAACCACACAGTGAGACAGAGATACACGCTCAGATGCAATGTTGAGACACATACACAAAGCACATACGTATCTAATGAGTGTTCATAAAATCCAGCCAGGTACTTGGGCTTTTCCAGTAGCACAACAAAAGCCCAGAAAGCATCCTCTTCCTGCATGTTCATTAGGAGCATTGCTGCTATGTAGGACATTCCTGGCAAAACAAGTCAAAGACAAATTGGGTCCAAAATTCACTATTAAAAAGCTGCATGCATTAAGCTGAAAGTTAATTTATACTTTTCACAGGAGTCATTTCAACTGACCCCCAAACCCCTCCCCACCTGGCAGGAGGTGGGCAACTTTAAGCTTTATTGTCCGCTGATTTCTTTCTTCAAAATCTCAGACAGGCAGTAAAATGAAAAAGTCTGAACACCAAGATTATTCCTACAGAAAAATGCAGTGCAGAAGGACCCCATTGTGCTTTTGCTGGGTGTTTGAAAAAAAGGTATCAATTAACTGCACTTCATCAGCTCCTTCCCATGAACTTATGCATTTTCAAATATTTATCCATTTCCCTGAAAAGTCATTTTTGGGTCCAATTCCCTTCTTTGTCCCAAAAACCTGCTGGACAAAAAAAAAATGCTCTTAGCCTCTTCCTTTGTTCTTTTAATGACAGCCTCAGTGTAGTTAAGATAATTGGCAACATAACCAGAGGCAAAATGAGGAGACTTTATTTAAGAAAGTGTATTATTATGCTTTAGAACACAGCCTTATGAGCAGTGGAAACCAACTAAATAATACACAGAACTGGATAAGTACTGCACTTGACAGGAAATAATTTGCAGGGCTCTGAGTGGGGTAGGGGCAGAGGGAGTGGGCCCCATTAGGTTACTTTTCAAAGAGCTGCCACAGGCGAGAGGGGCTGAATGGCCTCCTTTTGCACTGTACCATTTGATTGCATGATTCCACTGGCAAACTCACCAACTACATTTCCCCAACTTTCTCTCAAAAATCTTAAACACCATGGAACATTTCTAATAGATCATCAACGTGCTACTTCAACAACAGGAGAGCCTCAATGTCCTCACTCAGTACTAGAAGCCTCACAACCCATTCAGAGAAATCTTCTCTCTCCTCTGTCAATGACCTCCAGGTCTTCCTTAAGTTAATGCACTGAAAGCTGGGTAAAATGCTCAAAGTGCATGCTAATCAATGAACTGTGTAGGTTTATCACGATAGGGATAGGAAAAGAGTGGGAAAGCTAAGTGACATAATAGCTGAAATGACAGCAGGTTTGAGGGGCAATATGACATCTCAATTTACTATTGGAACACAGGTTCAAAAACACGACCAGATGATTGCTACGTACATGTGAGTTACCACAAGTTCAAAGACTTCCCCACTTTTCATAGAAAATAATTTGTATCCAAGGTGGGGAGGTAATTAATGGAACATCTTTATCGAAAGATGTACGTGCGACATCTCAGAACACTTCACTGTAAGTTAGTTACTTTAGAAGGGCAATTTCTACAATTACAGTTTTACATGTAACAAGGCCCCACATATAGCAAAAAAAGAGTGTCATTTTCATATATATATTAAAACATGTTGCTAAAATGGAGGGGTTGCTGAGGAGAAATGTTAGCTCAGAGACTGGGAGAAATCACCTGTTATTTGGCACCAACGCATTTTTTCGGTTTATTTTAACAAGTAGCTGGAGCCACAATTTGATGTTTCAGCTCGATACCGTTGCTTTGACTATGCAGCCTCCATTAAAAGAATATTATCCATTGAGCCATGTTGATAACAAGGACCTGCTCTTTAGGAGAGAACACTGAACACTGAGTTCTCTTATTTTAAACAGCAGTCTGTACACACAGTTCTCTTATTCTAAAGTGCACACCCATTATTATCGGTTATATTATTCTGAACACAATTATAGGCACCAAAATGGATGATCAGTTGGAGGTCTGAATGCTGAAAGATTCTGATGCTGTATTTCTTTACCTCCATTAAATACAGCATGACCTGTCTAATTGAAACTCCATCTGTAGCACAATATTCACCTACTCCCTCCAACACCAGCACACCTTGGTAGACTATGCACTCGCAAGATACACTGCTGCAGCTCACCAGGCCTTCTCCAATAGCATCTTTCACACCTGCGACCTGTTACCACCGAGATGAACAGCAGACTCACGATAACACCACCTGCAATTTCTCCTTCAAGTCACACAACATCCTTATCTGGAAATTTAATCGTTGTTCTTTTTCTGTCAGTGGGTCAAAACTCCCTCTTTAACAATACTGTCAGTGCTGCACTGGGGAGGCGATGGCCTAGCGGTATTATCGCTGGACAGTTAATCCAGAGACCCAGATAATGTTCTGGGGACCCAGGTTCAAATCGCACCATGGCAGATGGTAGAATTTGAATTCAATAAATATCTGGAATTAAGAGTCTAATGATGACCGTGAATCCATTGTTGTTGATTGTTGGGAAAACTCATGTTTCATTAGTCTCTCTGCTCCTATGATGCTGCTTGGCCTGCTGTGTTCATCCAGCCCTGCACCTTGTTGTCTCGGATTCTCCGGCATCTGCAGTTCCTACTATCTCTGTTTCATTAGTGAAACTGCCGTCTTTACCTGGTCTGGCCTACACGTGACTCCAGACCCACAGCAATGTGGAGGAGTCTGAACTACCCTCTGGGCAATTAGGGATGGGCAGTAAATGCTGCCCAGCCAGCAACGCCCTCATCTCTTGAATGAACGAAGAAAAAACCTCTCTCATTGGCCAACGTCATCACTGCCTTGAGAGGCCCATGCTAGTGTTGGGCAATAGTGTCATCAAAAGTCCTTCTTAGATCAAAAGTGCAAGCATTAGTGACATTCCCTGACCCTAATATTAAGTGAGAAATCATGAGCTTTTGGGGAAAGTGTGGTTTCCACCACAATTTTGTACCAAAATAATAGCATGTAGCTGCTTCACTAATGAACTTGCTACAAAAGACAGTCAAAATAGCATGATCAGGGCAGTGTCAGAATGTTGCGAGGGGCTGAAAGCAATTTTAGTGTTGGCTGCCCCCAATTTTTACAAACCCATCAAGGTGACAATTGACACTAGTGACCTGAGGCAAAAGTGCAAACATTACTAGAAGATGGGTTAGGCGTGGGGAAGCCAATTGAAAGTTTTTTTAAGAAATTAAATCAATACATTAAAAAATAAACTTCAGTGGAAAAATAAACCCTAGAATTAATATTAGCTGTTATAGATTGATCATAAAATCACCTTTGTGGAAAAATTTAAAAAACAGAATATCAGACTATTTCAATGCAACCCTATCACCTAAACGCTGTCTACATTGTGGGAAAGGAAACAAAGTAATTGCTGATGCTTTGTCGAGAATGCAACTTCGTATCATACCTAACAATTAGTTACAGGCAAAGGATGAATGAGTGTGCGTGCAAATGTGCCTCAACTTAAAAAATTTCTACACATTTTAAAACAGCATCCCAATCCACTTCACGTGTTATGAAGGTATGTCCATTATTATTACTTTTTTTAGGACTACTGCTTAAAAGATCCAAAGATGATGGAAGTACAGGTGTATTTTTGTTTTAAGGAAAAAAGTTTAGAATTAGGACAAGTCAGATTTTATTTTAAAACAGTTACATGGAAATAACATTAAAAGTTAACTGCTTAGATTTGCTCAATGGAAGTCATTTGCTGAGTTTATGGTGGTCAGGAGTTACGGATATTTGATATTGTTCAGCTGATTTACAGCCTGTTGAGAGAAGTCATCCAACTCATCATCTTCCAGTTTTGACAGGTCTACTTAGAATCCAGTGTAAGAGCTTCCGAGAAACTTCTGGAAGACTTCCTCACAATATCTCTTTAATGAACTGTTTGTGAGAAAGATTCCAGTAACAACAACGTGTCTAACAACACTAGTCTGAGAGTTCCAAAATGCCATATCAAACACTATCCATAATATGTCATCTTATTTAGTTTTCTTCACAAAACAATTATTGGGTCAAAGCTCTTTCTGAACAGGGAATGTTCCTTCCATTTTTCTTTAAGTGATGTGTGCACACATCTACTGTTATAAATATGCACCCTTATAAATAAATAAGCTCATTGGCAGATTTGTATTCAGAACTGAATAGATTGGTATATTTCATTGGCTATATGGATAATTGGGTAAAACATTACATTTTTTAAACTCGCTAGTAGAATAGCGAGACTTCAGAGAGAGTGAACTCCTCACACCTTGCACATAACAGATGCTTACTCTTTATTCACTTAAAAATTTTTAATTTATAAAAAGACTGCATTGCATACTCTACAGCTCCAAAAAGAAAACCTCTCAGTGTGCTCCCATATACATGAGCATAGGCGAGCAGCCAATTAATACCCACCACTCATACTTACTATCCAGATATACAATTAACACTCACTGAAGGAGTGCTCATGGTCATGGATGTTGCTTTATAACATTAAATTGAGGCCTCATTTGCCTCTCTGATAGAAGACTTCACAGCATTACTTTGAAGAAAAAAAACAGGAGCTCTCCCAATGTTGTGATTAAGCTGTGAAGTTATGCTCCAGCTATACAAAATCCTGGTTCAGCCACATCTGGAGTATTGTGTCCAGTTCTGGTCGTCTCATTACAGGAAAGATGTAGAGGAGATTTACCAGGATGTTACCTGGAATGGAGGGAAGGTCTTACAAGGAAAGGTTGAGCGCGCTAGGGCTTTTCTCTTTAGAACGACGAAGGATGAGAGGTGACTTGATAGAGGTGTACAAAATGATCAGAGGTATAGATAGTGGACAGTCAGAGACTTTTTCCTAGCGTGGAGGTAGTTATTACGAGGGGGCATAGTTTTAAAGTGAGTGGAGGTAGATATAGGGGAAACGTCAGAGTTAGGTTCTTTACTCAGAGTGTGGTCGGGACGTGGAATGCATTGCCGGAGAGGGTAGTGGAGTCGGCCTCATTAGGGGCATTTAAGCGGCTATTAGATAGGCATATGGATGATAGTATAAGGTAGGGGTGGAGGTTAGATAGACCTTAGGATTAGGGTAAAAGATCAGCACAACATCGTGGGCCGAAGGGCCTGTACTATTCTATGTTCTATAATATTTATCCCTCAGCTAATGACACTGAAAAAGCAGATTAACTCGATATTTCTTTGTTTGTGGGACTGTATGAAGTCACT